AAACGCCTCTGAGGTTGAGCCACAGGCCTATAGTCTTGCTCCATGTGAATTTTGTGCATGCAATAAAAGAGACTAATGCCTTTCAAATCAGATAGGGTCCAACCTATGGCTTCTCGGTTCAGCTGTAACACCTCAATTAACCTCTTCTCCTCATTGTCAGAAAGGGAGCTACTGATGATGACTGGTTTGTTGTTACCCTCTTCAAGAAAAACATATTTAAGATGTGAAGGCAAAAATTTCAATTCTAACTTTTGCTCTTCAGACCTCAAACTCTCATGCAATTCTTCAAATTTTATATTTCTTTCAAGAACTTCTTTGGTTGAGTTCAAGTTCCTTAAGAAGGCCTCAATTTCTTTCTCCTCTTCATCATTCAAAAACTCGAAGGCTTCAATGAGGGCTTTCTCCAAAGAGCTTTGACTATGTATTTGACTTGAAGCAGCAAAGATCACATCATCAAGTATATCCACCCTCATACAATCATTTTTATCATTGGGGTATTGCATGGCTTCAAAGACATTAAAATTTACTTCCTCATCTTGGACTCTCACTTTTAACTTTCCATCATCCACATCAATAATAACCTTGGCAGTTTTCATGAAAGGTCTACCAAGTATTAGAGGAACCTCTATGTCCTCTTCCATGTCCATTACCACAAAATCCACCGGGAACATGAACTTGTCCACCTTGACCAAAACATCCTCCACCACTCCATGAGGATACTTAATTGATCTATCAGCCAACTGTAATGTCATCCGAGTAGGTCTAGCCTCCAAATCTCCTATCCTTTTCATCATAGACAAGGGCATCAAGTTAATGCTGACCCCTAAGTCCAACAAGGCTTTACCCATAGGTAAAGTACCTATGGTTACAGGGATTGTGAAACTTCCTGGATCCTTAGATTTATGAGGTAGGGACTTCTGAATGATTGCACTACAACCGGCCTCCAACTCAATAGTTTCTTCTTCAATGAATCTTCTTTTCTTTCACAATAACTCTTTCATAAATTTAGCATAAGTTGGCATTTGCTCTAAGGCATGGAATATTAATTTGCAACCTCTTAAAAATGTCTAGAAACCTTGCAAATTGCCTTTCTTTGTCTTTTCTTGAAGGAGCATGTGGGTATGGAAGATTCTTTGTAGGTGGGGCTTTCCCAACTTCCTTCTTAATCTTTTTTTTCTTTTTCTCTATTTCTCCACTCACTCTCCTATTCTCCACCTCTTCCACTACACTCTCATCATTGTCTTCTACCCCACTATTTTCTTTCATCACATTTTCTTGTCTATCATTTTGATTATTCTCTAATCAAATCCGACATCCAATAAAAATCTTTTGAGTTTTTAGATTTTAGTTTTTTTTAATATTTGGTTTTCAATTTTTGCTGAGTTGGAATAATATTGCATTCATAATTTTTTTAGCAAGAGTGTTAAATTTTAAAAAAAATGTGATTTTTTTTTCAAAATAATTTAAAATTATTTTTAAATGTAAAATCTTTTTAACATTTTAAAATAAATAACAAGATTACATTTACATAATTTTATAATAATGTTAATATACATGTATCTTAAAATTACTTACTGTGTGTTTGGATTGCGGTTTACGAAATGAATTTCAGTTCAATTTAATTTTAGAAACTGAAGTTTAACTAAAAGTGTTTTTAATGTAACTTAATTTATGTTTTGATTATTTTTATTTTAAAAGTACTTTTTTTTTATCAAACTGAAACTTGTTTGTATAATTTAATTAAAAGTACATTCAAATATATAATTATTAAGATGAATATGAATTTTATAATGTAATGTTAATATTATTCTGTTCATTATGTTTTAAATATATTTGAATAGATTGTATGTTACTATTATTATTATCATTACTTTTTTATATAAAAATATGATGATGATATTATAAATTGAAAGTAATACATCTGAATATATATATATATATATATATATATATATATATAATGTCTTGAATGGACAACCAAATTTGTGTACTAAGAAGACTATGGAGAGCCAAAGCCAACCCCAAGTTTCAAATTCAAGCCAAAACACTGAAGGAACCACCTTCTTCAGAACTTGTCTCAATGTGATCA